CACGCACCCGCCAGGCCCCTCCATTGCAAGAGGAAGGCGCCTCCCCGCAAAAGGGCAGAGATCTGGCCCTGAACCCAGGCCCTCAGCACCCATGGGCAGAGGCCCTGCACCATACACCACAGGACCCAGCTGTCTCAGATTGTCACTTCTGGGCCCCTTGACTCTTTCCCTGCACACATGCACTGGCCCCACTGCAAGGGGAGCCCCGGGAAGGCCGCGGGCCCTGCCTGCCTGGTGGCCAAGGCCTCGTGCTTTCAGGCAGGGCCCGTGGGTTTGACTCAACACAGGGGCAGCATCCTCTGGGCTCAGCTTTCACTTTTGCTTGCCCAGCTGCTGCGGGCCAGGGGCCATTGTATTTGCCGTGCCAACAGGACTTGTTCCAGCTGCCCGGGCTCGAGTCTGGAGCCGTTGGGCTGGAGGCCGGGCGCTCTGCCTTTGTTTCCGGGCAGGGGACCTGCCTGGAAAGAGCGAAGCCGCGCGGCACGTCCCCGTGGGCTGCGGGGAACGGTGATCTCCGGCTGCTCAGCACGGACCACCGTGGAGTCCCAGCTCCTGTGCGACCCCAGCCAAGGGGTGCAGACAAGGGGGTCGGAGGCCTCCAGCCACAAGGGAATCTGGCCCCAGCCCGCGCTTCGCAGCACCGGGCCCCATGAGGCCCCCGGCTTGAGCTGTGGAGCAAGGTCGAGCTGCGGAGATGCCTCAGGGGCCCCAAAAGGCAAAGGGCCACGAGCCTTCCCTGGCTCCCCACGAATCCTCGCTCTGCAGGACACGGCTGTCCAGCTCCCTGACGGCAGCCCGAGGCCGCTGCTGCCCCCCAGCCCCAGGTCTCCCCCAGAGCTGGGGGGGCCCCGCAGGGCCCGGTGCTGTGAAGTGCGGGCTGGGGCTGGATTCCCTTGTGGCTGGAGGCCTCTGAAGCTGATGCGGGGGAGCAATACGAAAGAGGGAAAAGACTGGAGAAAATAAAAATGAATGAGAATGAAAATGAATGAAAAAGAAATAAAAATGATTTTTTTTGAAAATTATATAATAGCACTGATAAAATGGTTTTGGCTTCTCCGAACTCAGCAGCCCCTCAGCGATGACATGGGTAGAGCTGGCTGAAAGCCTGTGCACATTACATTACACAGGCAAGCGGGGCAGGACCACGGCTGGGCTTAAGGGACTCATGAAAACCTGGAGGCAGCTGGGGATCCACGCAGTCGGTCTCCTTGCAACGGTGACAATGCAGTTTTCCACTGCCGGGCCCCAGCCCTTAGAGAAAAAGCACCCACCCTGCCATTACAAATAGCAAGACTTGTGCTAAAGCCGTTCAGAGAAGAAGGTCTGAAACACATGAACTAAAAAAAAGAACTCCAAGTAGCTCATAGGTCTCCAGAGCATTTTATTTTTATTGGGACCATTTTTTCTTTTGAGACAAGGGACAGCTGAACTTCAACAGATTATACCCAAGCACCACAACTTCACTGGACCTTATTTTTCAGTTCCTCAAATAAATCAGGACTGATTTCCTAGAGTGCATTGTAAACCGAAGACTAGGACCCACGTGTTACACACTCTTTCACCACTGGTCCATCAGAAGGGAAAATACTTGCATTACACAAGTAAAAACACAGATTGGATCGGCAGACTGAATGAAAAAGTCCATCCTTCAGCCAGCTCTCAACAGGAAAGGCCCGTGGCCAGATCTCAGTGTAGAAAAGCACCAGCCATGAGATGAAGTTTCTTACACCGTTTATTATTTGACTGTGCACATCTTAGGCCCATTTGCTCCTACCGGTTTTGACGCTGGCCATGCCAACTACCTTTAGGATCCTTTGGACACAGTACAAGATCTTTGTCTCTGTGGAGCTGGAGGTTAAACACTTTAAAATACTCACAGAGCCTTAACTTACAGACACAAACACATTACACCACAAACAGCCTCCAATTGGCCTCACAAAGTACATCCTAAGCAAGCTACAGCCAAACCACAAACAGAATCGAGCACAAATCTGCATTTCTACGCTAACGCTGAGAACTGCTCGACAACCTTACACACTGCCCTCAATCGCATCCATTTTGATCCACTGATCAACTAGCCAAGCCAGACAACCTGCAAAACCCTTGACTGCTGCATATCAAAATGCACAACTAGCACAAAGCCTCAACCTCCCTGCACACAATCGGGGCCAACCCGAGACTGAGTGCATGGTGCAACTTGAAGCGTGCGGCTGCTTGCTCCGAATGGGTGTTTGAAAGTGTAGACATGCACACAAGTCTCCATCTGTATTTATCTAAGCATACATTAAACATTTCACTCCCTCCCTCCTGCCCACCCCAAGCCACACTTCTTGTTCCCGAGCTTTCTTCTCCTGCCTCCGTTCCTTCTTCTCCAGCTGCCCTTCAGGGACCTGCAAGAGTACACAAAACAGAACTGGAGCTGACTGGCAAGGAATCCCACACCCCAGTAAAAACTATCTCCTGGTGCCCATCCTGCTCTCGAGCATGGTGTCCTTTAAAAACAAGGGGGATGTGACATACCTCCGGTTTAGTAGAAGAGGACGAGCACCACCCTAGCATGACCTAAGACACAAATCTGGGGTACAAGGAGGTTTGGCAGCTTTTAGGGCTTATTGTTCCAATCTTTTACTCAGACCCAAGGGCTCCAGCAAGGCCAGGGCTTGAACCCACCACCTTTGCCCCCTAGGGGAGCGCACTTACCATCACAATAATGGGGGAGGCTGAGAGCTGCTCCGGCCGTGGGCCCCTCCCCACAAAAGGGGAGAGACCTGGACCCAGGCCCTGCACCGTGCACCACAGGCCCCGGCTGGCTCAGACCCTCACTTCTGGGCCCCTCGACTCTTTCCCTGCGCACACGCACTGGCCCCACAAGGAGCTGACGCAGTTCTCTCTCTCTGTCGCTGTCCATGGCGATAGCGATGTAGGTGTTCAACGAGTGTCACACGTGCCGTTGGGCATCCGCACTTAGCGTGAAGGCAACCCCGGCTCAGTGCTGCCCTCGTGTGGCGCGCTCCGAGCACTGCAGCCCCGAGGAGCGGCGCCGCGGAGCGGAGGCGAACGCGCTGCTCGGTGCTGCCCTCCGGTGGCGGCGTCGGGGCATTGCCGCAGCCCGTGCCGGCGGGGAAGGAGCCCTGCTCAGAGCCGCCCTCCTGTGGCCGCGCCGAGCATTGCGGCGGGGAGCGCCTG